TGATTGCACAATTTCATTCAAACTGTGGTTGATCAATCATTTGTTACCCCTCCCTAGATTATATTATAATTCACACCAAAACTCTTCTTGTTATTTTTTTTATCGATCATGGAACTGGACCTATACTTTCTTTCGCCGCCCAGTTTAGGTTGCTGAAGACCTATTCTAACCCGGATCTTCACTGGTTAACAGGTTAACATGTATGTCAAATTTAGGGTTAAGAAGTAGGCATCCCCAAGGGCACCAATTGTGTCCCCTTCTTATTTCATATGTAGATCTATAAGATTCAAAGCGACGAAAAACTACCCACAAGATTGTAGGGCAAGATGGGTTACTTAAGCTTTCTTCTATAGTCAACTTTCCCTTTTTGTCGGGCACTATTTCAGCAACATTTCGCATTTTGAGGTACAACTGACCACTTTTCAACGAAGTGTTCATAGAACATGAGATCATTCTTGTTCAAGTTATTTCATCAAGGGTATAAACCAGATTTGGCGTATCAGTAACAAAAATGGTGTCCGATGCAATTTTCTATTTTGTTGTCTACTATATGTTTACAGGTGAACAATTGGCTTGCCTTTGCACCGGGACAACTCAAACGATTAAGACGTAATGGGTAATAATTACACGCACACGTGTGTCATAATAATGTTTCGAAATTCGTGTAAGAAATCATTCTTTTCGTAAGACCAGAATGCCACACATACTGGTATTATCCCCCCTATATATTTAGCTAGTGATGACATGTTTACACACAACCCAATGACGTCATGATGACTCGCAGCACTGAATGGTTTCGGGTTAAATGTAACATACATTGCGGACGTAAAACATATCCTGGTCTAACCTTACACCATTAACATACATTTACATGTACAGGAGACACTATTGATAAACGATTGTTTCTTTGAGTTGACTGACTGTCATGTGGATTTGAAACTGTTCTCGGTACAGAAAGTCACCAAGTTCTTCGTAACATGCTCGGAAATAACAGGCAAACAACACGGCGAATAATATAGTGGTAAACATCGAACGGAAAAGCATACATAAATTATTTGATGACACATTCACCCAGGTCCGAGTATTTGTCGTTTCAACAAGAATATACGTGGGAGCTTTGTACTAGCATGAAAGTCACTGTATTTAACGAAGCGGGCTTGCTTCTTTCGAACTAATTCATTCACGGTATAGACTTGTATACCGCTAGAAGTAAGCATTTGACCACTTTTATAGGAAAACAAGATCTGTCGATGTGGGCAACACAATGCAGACACGACAGTTTATGGCCTCCGCACAGATGTTCATATACTGAACGTACATATGGCGACGTATGATCAATACATCAAACAAGCATTACAAATGTGAGTTCACGTCCACGGGCCTCTCAGTACGACCTCTTCGCGAGATTTTCTATAGATTCACTTGTATAATAGCACACATGTACGATATACGTATCTACAACGTGTCAGATAATATCTGGACAGGGCTTCACGAATCACGCGACCTCATTGAGACATACAGCAGCCAGGCCAAGTTGAGATGTACCTACGATATGAAAGCTGTGGTGGACATTGTTGACTGTGACGCGACTTGCCAAACTCACAAGCGTCTATGATAACTCGCGCATGTCTTATGGCACATAATCCCTAATTTCACGCGCTTTTGATCATGAGTAAGCAAAGAAAAGAAGAAGAGTCGGAAATTGAGTGGGCCCGTCGCCCTTGTCAACGCGTACAATAATATGGTCAACGCGAAGAAAGTAGGAAACTTGCGTTTGCTTCACACAAAATGGTGGCGCCCAGTCAGGACGATCTGATCGATAATCAACATGTATATTGTGATACGGGTCTAACATCGCGAAATGCATCAAATCACGTAAGCACCTTGATTAAAAACATGCGTGCGTACGTGTGTGTGTGCGTACGTACGTGTGTGTGTGTGTGTTTACAAGGCATATTAAATGACTTAATTTTTGTAATATATTTCAGCAGTTGGGAGAAACTTTTATCTGATTGCCGCTTTTCTTTATATAAATGTGTCTGCCTCTCTACTAGAGGTCCATACACTGATTACTAAGTGTGTTTTTAGTCTTTAAAACATGTTCATTTAGCACTGAAAGTTGCTTTGAAAGTATGCACGAGCATAAAATGTACATTACATCTCTTTCTACATTTATGTGCAATTGCACATTGATCTATCCCAAGAACAATTATAACTATTGCAATCTTACATAGAGCACGCTGTCACGTTCATGCACAGGCCACAAACGTGTGGTTTTCTAGTAGTCATAAGAACTGCGTCAAACATGCTCAAATTACCAGGAAGTAATTACTCTACAGTATGTTTAAGCAAAACCATACATGTCAAAAATGGTGCTTTTCAAGTACCTAAATTTAAACATTTTCCAATTAGACTTCCGGGGAACAATAGGTCCCCACGACCCGTGCTTGTTGAAAGAAGCGACCACAGAGGACAGTTGTATGAAATCATTCCCCGACCACAGAGGACAGTTGTATGAAATCATTCCCCGACGACAGAGGACAGTTGTATGAAATCATTCCCCGACCACAGAGGACAGTTGTATGAAATCATTCCCCGACCACAGAGGACAGTTGTATGAAATCATTCCCCGACGACAGAGGACAGTTGTATGAAATCATTCCCCGACCACAGAGGACAGTTGTATGAAATCATTCCCCGACGACAGAGGACAGTTGTATGAAATCATTCCCCGACCACAGAGGACAGTTGTATGAAATCATTCCCCGACGACAGAGGACAGTTGTATGAAATCATTCCCCGACGGCGGGGGCCGTTGCTCATTCTTTCGGTCACTGGTTTGTCTGACTTACAGGTCGCCGTTAGATAGCTTGATCATAGGTGACTGTGGCGTTAAACAATGTTCAATCACTCTGTCAACCTGGACCACTGGTATCCTGTGTCCCGTATCGTGACCCAGAACAACCGCGAAACAAGAAATATATCTCACCCGGACTTCGTGAGTTATATAACAGTCCTTACAACATGTCCTGCAAACACGCACTTCATACACTCGGTCAGCGACCTGAAAGCTTAGGTCATACCACGAGACGTGGGTAGATACATTAACCATCCTGTCTTGTTGGGGAGTACTGTGGACATAATAGCATGTCTCGCTACAGTAAATCTGTGTCACCGTCATACCAGAATGTCGTTGCCATGGCAACGTCAACCTTTTGTCTATCCTAGAAGTAAATTAATTTGTAACTTATCTCCACAAATTGAAAAAGTGCCCGAAACAGCGTCTCCATGCGTGTCTCTGCCCGCTACAGAACTATGCACCGAGAGTATGCTGTGGTCGGCTTGTCTTATCGTTCGAAAGGATGTCTATTTCTGGAGTCGTGTGCTGGGCTTTTTGCACGTGCATGACCTTCGAGAGTTCTCGTGTTTTGAATGAGATAGTTTGCAGTCGTGTGTGTGGAGACTGTGTTTACCCAGTGGGTAGGAACTGACATATTGCATCAAGGCGACCTCATCTGTCACAACAGAGCATACGATTGCAGTGATAGTCTGAGCTGTGAACGGTCCGTACGGATTGGGTACATGACATAAAACAATAAGTTTTGGCCTGTTGAGATCGTGGGCTATCATTATTCAGCAGTCACTATGTTCATTCCATCCCCATTGCAGTCTAACCTCCCAGTTATCATGAGATGTTTCAGTGGAAGGAATGGACGTTGCCATACACTGCAGTCAGCATCATTCTGGCTATATCATGGTGGGATTTCAATAACCCAGTCCGAGTGGGGTGGGGTTGGGTTTTGGTGAGGTGAGGTGAGGTCAGGTGAATATGAAATGCAAAGGTAGGATTTGAATTTGTGACTCGCCGGCGCAAGCCCTACACATACTTCCTTCCGGGGTAGAATAGTTCTTCAGCAACCAATGCTTGCCGTAAAAGACGACTATGCTTGTCGTAAGAGGCGACTAACGGGATCGGGTGGTCAGGCTCGCTGACTTGGTTGATGCATGTCATCGACCCCAACTGCGTGGATCGATGCTCCTGATATTAATCACTGGATTGTCTGGTCCAAACCAACCAACTTCCTTCTTGACCGGTCCGCCGTGGATCGCTACAAGTTGAGCGCAGTATAAAAGTCATTGTTCTTTGAATGCAACAGATTACAACGGGTTTTTTAATACTGGCGACCAAAAGTAATCCACTTTTAACAGGTATTGTTTTTTGTCTTTCCATGATACAAAAATCTGATTCTACAATATGTCAAGTGTGTATTTAAATAGAATGATTATCCCCATCAAAGGTTGGGTTGTATAGAATGTCAAGACTAGTGGGAGTGTTTGACATACTTGTATCAGTCGACGTGTAGACTTCCGACATAGAATAACATCTTACTCTCCAAAATGTTGTATTTTCATTTCTGGAAATAGGCATGTTAATACGACATTGAGTCGAACCCTACCCGTCCACACACATATCATGGATTCAGGTAACAGCTTTGCAGCAGGGCACTAGATGCATGTCATGGCGGTTGTGTGCCAATGTAATACGAGACGCACATGTTCTGTGTGTCGTCTGCCAATACGACAAAAGTCGTCTGCCAGATGTTTCGTCATGTACTGATGTATAAACCCTACTTTATGCGTGGTAACATTGTGAGTTGCTTGTCTGAAAATACATACGTTAGTTGTGGGTTTTAAATGCATCAACACGGTATATTTTCTCCTCAAATAAATCTTTTAGATAATTATCATATCTCATGTGGAATACAACGTATCAGTATGTTTCTGCAATAAACACGTGTGATATACTCAGCGTTTGGGCTTATTCATGAACATGTGAGAAGAAAATGTAACTATTACAACTTTATACAAATGAATATGTATTACATACTTTTGTATCGTCCATATGTTGCCAGGAGCAGACGAGGCCTGTCACGTGACACAGACAGATAATCGATCCCACGGCAGGGTAAACTCGTTATATCAGTGATTGCTGGGGGAAAGGGGGAAGTATGAAGATGATAGTTTCGAAAGGTTTTTATTTCATTCGCAACGCTTCACTGAACTTAAAATGTGCGTCGTCATCTGTTGAGCCCTGTCGGTGCACCAGCCTTACCATGAGCTTCAACATGCTCGCATGTACATCTCGAGAGAAGCGTGTTAGCGATGAAGTGAGACAGATAGTAGTAAAACAAATCGTCCCTCAGTGAATTCAGCGGGGCAGCAGTGCAGGGAGGTGTGCACTACACTGCGAGGGAGAGGGCGGGTAAGGTACGTCTGTACAGGAGCAGACGACACGCTGAGTAATAGATGATCTTTCTGCCTCAAGGGATATTTCGAGACTTCTCGGTTCTGGAGTATGTTGTGGACTGAAGAGATGGACTGACTGACACACCAGCAGACGATATGGAGCGAATAGTAACTACGTTTTCGGGGATTCCTTGAAGAGTTCAGCTTGGTTGAAAAAGGAAGGGTGTAGTGTATGTACTGGCGATATAGTGGGAAAGTTCACAGTTCAGTCCTGGCTGGAGTGTGTTGTCTTGAGGGAGACACGAACCAGTTGCGGGGGAGAGTTTGACAGTAATACTCGATTATTCGGATTAATAGTACATTGACGTTGTTTTGTATAGTGCAGCTGTGTAGTCACAACAAGGTGAAACTAGCCCAGGTTCAGGTACAGCTCCGAGTCGGGACTACTCACACTTGGAGGGAAACAGGCAGGCGACAGCACTCGTAGTTACCTCACCTGGTAACAAGCAGACGACAAGCATGGCTTACATTAGACGTGTTTTCGATGGATTAAAGGGATACCTTCTACCTTTGTGACAGCAAGCAAGGCGGACCCCTGGGGCGATGTCGATGTGGGTGGAGCGGATGGGTCTGGGAGGGGTGGAGAACTTCATTCGTTCTATCTCCCAGGGCCTTGCTAACACTGTACTCGGCTACTTCACACATTCCAAGGTAGGTGGTGAGTCTGAATCACACACACACACACACACACACACACACACACACACACACACACACACACACACACACACACAACCACGCCCCATCAAACAGACATGCCGTGTTCCCAATGACAGACCTGTCATACTCTTTTCAAATACATGTATAGACAGTCAATTATTCACCTGGATCGCTAATGCTTAAAGGGAACAACAAGGTTTGTGGCAGGTTGAGGCAATACGAAAACCTCGAACTGTTTCTACATCTGCCAAAGACGCGCGTGGGAAAGAAGTGTTATTTTCAAACAACATCCTTGTTCTAAATTAGGACAGGTATGACGTACAGGGTCGCCACAGCACTGATCTTGCTGTGAGCAGTTGTATTTTTACACGACAAATCTGTTCACAAAGCCGATGTGCTGGAGAATGTTGACCCGATCTTTAAATAGTTTTTTTCTTCGAACTGTTATCGCACATGATGAACTGGCTAACTGATCAGTTCAATGCATGAACATAATCACAGTTTAGATGTATTGGAACGACAGCGCCAGACACTTTCCTCAGAGTAGTACTAGCTCTCCCCTTCTAATCCATTAAAATACATTTACTCCTAATTTATATACACATGTACTTAAAACGTTTTCGATATGCAACTTGTACTGAGAAACAGCTTCTCTCGACCTTGTGTTCCCGTTGTTTCTCCCCAGCGAACAATAACTCAACAGAAAGCCACTTTACCGATATTTTTCAAAGATTAACCATGAGCATTGTTCTTTTGTTCTCTCACCTTCTTCCAGACATGCACTTAAGCGTCAAGAATGCTGTTTGTATTTAACAAACTCAGTATGTGAAGTATCGATAATCTGATAACCACAACAACATTAAACTGAAGGTATTGAGATATTCTGAAGTGATAAGTGGCCTACAGTGGAGTATTTAAGACGTCAGTTCTATGAATTGCTTCAGCTGAGCCAGTATCCAGTGGAAATAAAACAAGTATGTAAAATATAGTTCTTAAATGCTGTATAGATAACGTAACATATCGGCGTTACAGGTTACAGGCAATATGTGCATGTTGCACTGTAACACTCCCCGGGCGCAGGTGTTGTGCTGTGGCAGTTAATAAAATGTGATGACTCGGGTGTTTGTCAAGGTCGGACATTCTCTGCATAGTCGGGAGTGATGCATCTCCCGGTGGTACTGTCACTGCAGTGTTAAGCATCACGTATAGGATCAGGTATCCTGCTATACCCAGGAAGGACTGGGGCACTTGCACTTTAAAGCATCCACAATAATATATACACATTTTGTTCTTTATAACCGTATGTCAAATTATATTATTTTCTGTGTATTGTGTAGGATTATTGGGTACATAAAATGAGATTTTACGACACATGTAATGCAAACACTTTGAAAAACACTTTGTATATTAATAACCGTTACGTCGGCATATGTCGAAGTAAATATATGATGTAAGAATAATTAGGAACTTATATCATGATTTAAGAGAGAAAAAAATATAAAGTGCTATGCAAAGAGTCTTTCAAGTGCGTTCGAAACATACTCATTACTTAAACTTGGTTAAACCGCTTTCCAAGCTGCACTGAGAAGTGTAGGTGTAGAACCAGTTCCGTTTTAAACACATCTGTCGCCCTCAACATGAGACGCTGATCTCACGCAACAACGCGTATTGACGTACACCTGTGTAACATAGACTGTAGACTAACGATCTGACTCTTAAAACATGGAATTTTGATCGAAACAAATAGTTCCATTTATGTTGAAAAGGAGCCTGAGTGATGTGGGAGATTCAGAACCTGAACCTGAGGAAAATCTAGACTTGCTTCATATTGGGCTTTTGCATTACAGAAAGGTCTGAGCGGTACGGAAAATAATCAGGTTCAGGGACTGTGAGGCAGACTACTTAGACTGGCGCCTATTTGAACTCAGTAAGGTGTACTATTCGTTGATTGATATAAACAGTTTGTACCGTTTGTACAGCCGTGACGGTTGCAACAGTGGAGTCAGTTTCAGTAGGTGTGGGTTCCTCGTAAGGTTAACGAACGAACTGGACATTCATTAATGATAAGAAGAAACAGCAAAGTCATCCGACTGGAATAATCTACATATGGTTACATTATCATATATCAAATATTAAAACAAACCCAAAATTACTCATGTGGAATATCATTTCAATGTGACATTTCAGTATAACTAGTTCGAACTAATGTCCCATCGATTATTCATCCCCGATCAGTGCATATGTTGTTGAATGTCTGCGTGTGTTGTGTACACAGATGTATTCACGATCCTACAAGGTTGTATATTAATACGGAACAGGTTTAGCATGTTTTCTGTTGGAGTGGGCGGCTTCTTTGTCCTAACTGTCGTCACCGGTCTCACTGCTGGAGTTGAACGTATTCAATCAATCTTCCAACTTAATGAAGACTGATGGACAGTCTCGCTTGTAGTTTGACAGGTCATACATTTAAATTGTGTAGTTAGAGAAATGTTTGATTCTTTGGTGGATTTGACCTTCCAGAGTTCAAACTGACCCAAAAGACCTCGTGTCAGGTCACATGTTTGATAGTTTACTTGACAGTGTAGTTATCAAATAAATCAGTGTTTGTAGTCTCGGTAAACGCTGTTAAAAGCCCTATACAGTGTATTATTCGTATGGGGATCACACCAACAGTATTCTCCGGCCGATCCCCATGTCGCTATTGAACGCTTTTTAAAACATACAGGATACGTTGAATGTGATGATATGAAAGCCTGGCATTCCAAGGTGGACCCGTGTCTTATGTTATAAAATAAGAGCTCGGGTGTTTTCAGCATCTTTACAGAATAACATAAGTTTTAATTCATTACTTGTTGTGACTGCTAGTAGTTTTGTAGCTCCCGGTTTCATGTTCTGACGCGTTCAATCGGTATCAGATTACATCAATGTCTCTCCTTTGCCTGAAAGGATATTTAATAAAAGCTTTGTGGATTTCTTTCGGAAGTATGACTTTATACTTATGTATTGCTGTTCCCCGACAGCTCACGACACCTGGAGGAATCTTAATGTGTGTCGGTGAACACTGAACAACGCTGTTCATCATTCAGTCAAACCGACACGGCAACCGCCCCTTAGTGTTCATCACGTGAGGGGACACCCTGCAGCCCCTCCCTGTCTATACCACAATGCACAACATAAAATCTAGACTAACATTTAGTCTCTAAAATCTTATATTTCACAATATCCTTCCTGACTCTAAAAATAAATAAAAGTTCCCTATGCTGATTTGTGGAATAGAGCTAGCTTGAGCTGGCTAGATTTGCTTTTGTATGCATTTGTAGATTATTTTTTTTAATAAAATAAATATATTCCACGGTCATGGTGCAGGACTACATAAAATCATGTGTTGGTATTTTTGTGAAGTGAATGAATGTCGTTTAATGTCACAATCAGCACATTCAAGGCATATAATCATGGAATCTGCATCAGACACAAGAATATGCACTTCAGACCACGATCATTGGGTCTTGTTACTCGTGAAAGTCCGGGGTAGAATAGGTCTTCAGCAACCCATGCTTCCCGCAAAAGGCGACTATGCTTGTAGTAAGTGGCGACTAACCGGATCCGGTGGTCAGGCGAGCTGACTTGGTTGATGCATGTCATCGTATCACAATTGAGTTGATCGATTATCATGATGTCAATCACTGGATTGTCTGGTCCAGACTCGATTATTTACAGACTGCCGTCATAGAGCTGGACTATTGCTGAGTGCGGCGTTAAACATCAAACAAACAAACAACATTGGGTATTGTCTTACATACTTGCATAGGTGGACAGATTCATTATACCAGTCAGACTGGAGTGTAAAGTTGGCCGTATGCGAACTGGGTGTTGAATGTTTTTCTCTACCAGTAAAGCCATATGGCAGACACCTCTGTGACTCAACGTGAACAGGGGAGGCAGCGGAACATGACTTTGTTTTAATTTAACGAGGAACAGCTTCAGAATTAATCAGATGATAAGGCATTTACTAAACTGGGTCACTTGGAGCTGTGCGCCCTTGTGTTTATCCCTGCACTGAAGTGCGTATGACTTGCATATCAACAGCGTGTTAGCTCAGTGGGTAAAGCCTGGGTAAAGAATTCATTTTACGAATCGAAGTTCTTGTGTCAAGCTTTCTGTTGGTGAATTGATGATTTGTCGATCAAAACGTGTCATTTTAATTCTCTTCAAATAAATAAATAGCAGGAGAGATTAAAGAACTAAATATCACGAAGGGGTTCAAAGTTTGAAAGTACCATTGTCGGAAGGAAGGAAATATACTTACAGGAGGCAATATGAATAATGAAGTATCTGTGTACAGTTAATTACTGCAGTTAACGTATTTACACAGACGTATATACAGTTAACGTATTTACACAGGGGTTATGCAGTTAACGTATTTACACAGGGTTTATTCAGTTTACGTATTTACACAGGGTATATGCAGTTAACGTTTTTACAGAGGCGTATTTGCAGTATACGTATTTACACAGGAGTATATTCAGTTAACGTATTTACACGGGTGTTATGCAGTTTACGTATTTACACAGGCGTATATACAGTTAACGTATTTACACAGGCGTATATACAGTTAACGTATTTACACAGGGGTTATGCAGTTAACGTATTTACACAGGGTGTATACAGTTAACGTATTTACACAGGCGTATATAGGCTGGATACCTATTTATTTGATAAGGGATCCCCTTCGGGGTTTCCGATGTGTGACCTGGTTGTGTGTCGTCACTTTCTATCTGCCAATGCTCATGCTATCGGCCAGTGAAACAGTTGAGTTGATATCCAATAACTCCATATCTGAGTTGATATCCAATAACTCCATATATATAGTTACATCGTTTTAAATTATATATATATATATATAATTTAAAACGATGTAACTTGTCTCGAACTACGGACAACCCTTTATCGATTTAATGGTCTCTCGAAGGATTTCACTATCTGTGTACCTT